CTTACCTCTACACCACCGGTGCCACTGCTAAGAATATCTTGAAAGCGCTGGTTGATCTAGTAGATCATGTAATCTTAATTCTTGAACGATTTGGAGAACCTTAGATATTTGTGGTAAAGGAAACTTATGGTGAATGGTGAATTTAGACTTAACGAACATGTAACGTTGCTAAGACTATCCTAACTGTTCAAATAGAGCACTTAGTACGATCTGAGCGCCAAGTTGGATTGAAGAACCTTTGACGTCTTATTAATATTGTCTTGTTTCTTAAATATTTATCATAGTCCTATGAACCTGGCTGGAAATCTCGTATAAGACTTCATTGATACTCACAACACGCGACGCTAGACAAAACACAGCATTTATCATTCTTACAATGTTAAAATAGATTAAAATTTACCTTTCTGACAAACGGTTTCAGGTTGTGATGCTGCCCATCTATGGGATAATGTCCAACGTGACTTTATTGATCTTGTAGATTTTCAGATATGAAGGTCCAGTAAATCAGATCTCATCAATCATACCAAGCAATTATTTAAAGATTTTAATGTAAATTTGCAAAAATAACACTATTCTTGCTCCAGAAAATCAGGAATAACTTTTAAACAGTCAACAATAGGCGAATACTTTATTCAGTCATAACATAAAGTCCTACTTATGAGCTGTAAGAAATTGCTAATAAGCCTTATTTTGATACCCTTTTTTGATGATCAAATGTTATTATTCTCCTAAAAACCGTGATTTCAGAAAATAAAAATAAAATCATTGAACATTAAGCATCTAGTAGGCTGTGACAAATGTTTCTCTTATGTAAGGGACTCCAAGATATGTGTAGAAAATATAAAAGGGTTGGGATATACTGAATTTCGATGCTTTTATTTATTTATTAGTCAATCAATCAAATCGTAGACTACATATTAACATTATAACTTTAGAAATATTTGTTCAGCTATGACTATGAAAAATCAACCTTTATCAAACATCGGGGGTATCTCTAATTCATGTTTTTCGGAAATACCGCCTTCCATACCGCTATCATTTGGAGGGTGAGCCCTTGGGTTTCCAGATCATGTGTTATTTTTGGTCACACACACTTAAGGGCCACCCACATAAGATCCGGATTTGAAGCGTTTCGGCAAAGTGACAGCTAAATCTATTCATTGTCTAACTGTCAAATTAGGGTGAAAAAACTCATATTAATTTAGGTACTCTGAGAATGAAATTTAGCGCCAATGTTGACATAAAATTGAAATCATAACAGACGCGAAATTCCAGTTACGAACTTTTTAGTCACAATTGAGGAGTACCGTAAAACGGGGTTACATTGATAGGATTTTGAAGTATATTCTAAATATTTTTAACATCAATTCAAATTTATTTTTTTAAACAAGTACTGATGATCCTTAAGTCAATTCGTTGGTAATTTATTTATTTATTTTATTAGGACTTATGTTCTAAGACTTCGCAGGGTTCTGAAATACACTGAAGTCTTTTTTACACGGTTTTTTTTACGCGGTTCTTTTTACACGGTTTTTTTTACACGGTTTTCCACGATTTACACGGTACGTTTTTAACGATTTCTCGACAACGATACAACCTATTGACTTGCTTCCAATCACATTATCCGTTTCAAGCTATAGGTAATCGAATGGCATACTTAAAAAAAAATCACAATTTTTGGTGTAAATACAGAATTTTTTTAAATATGTCTATATGGACCATATCATGCTTTAATTACAAATGGCATCAAAATCCGATTTTTCAAAAACATTTAAACATGCGAAAAATCAAAATCTTGTAGGTTTTTTTTACACGGTTTTTTTTACACGGTACGTATACCCCGTGTAAAAAAAGACCTGACTGTACATTTTTAATTCTGTTGAGGGCATATTTAGGACAATCATTTCACAATTATGTTTATAAACAGTGATTTACCGTTCCAAATTTAGCGTAATGGGTCCGATGGCGATCTACTTCGAACAAGTTTCGATTGCGTAATTGTCGGGATTGTAGAAGAAAAGGCGTGAAACTCAATTAATTTAGTTCTTGAGATATGCAACATTGAATGAGTATATAATCAGAAAACATCACCAGGAATATGAATAAAACATTTAATTTATGATGGCTATATTAGAAATACATTTTATAAGTGATAATTTGAGTGCTTTTCTAACAGGCGATAAATAAGAAAATTTAATTTTAATATGTTTGTATAATATGTAACACATACAATATAAAAACTATATACTATATCAACGGAAATGCCCTGATCTACTATATGGAACCAATGTTTCCAATTCGGAAAATTTTAGCTATATTAAGTGCTCTCAAACCGAAACATAAGCAAATCGACGAAGAGAACGTTTCATTGAATTGATTTTCTTGTTTCTTTCAACTGATTCTTATGTCAAAAGGGCCGCTTACATGTATCGGTCTCAGGGAACCTAAATTTAAATGACATTTTCGTAGTGTGTACCCCGTTTTAAAGTACTTAATTTTACATGACATGTTTGTTTCCGTCTCATCTTCTATGTCAAAGATTGATTCTGTCACTTGTAAAATGAGTTATTTCTACAAACTGAAGCAGATTTTTGAATGTAAAATTACGTGTGTAACGGCCATTAATGAAATTTTATATAGTTATTCGCGAAAATTCAATTAATTACAAATGAAATTTTCACTTTTAAGGAAAACAAAGATTTTTAAATGCATTTAAATGGATTATTAAATACTTTCACGTAAAACAAAATTTGAATTGCTGCATTTTTCAACTAAGGCCAGAAAATACATCAATGTGCCAAATGAAAATTTAATGTTTAAATTTAAATTATAGAGATAGAGCTGGAATAAGGGCGTAACAGCTTTTGTAAACAATGACTTCTCTCGATGATTTTTTTGGAATTCACGCAAACAAACAAAATTGTCGGGTAGAAGTCTTCCCCTACCCGATAGTGATGTTGATTTGCGTTGGCGAGCCATGACTTACTAGAAATCATCCAAAGAAGTCACTGTTTACAAAAGCTGTTACACCCTAATTCCAGCTCTATCTAGTAATTATCATAAAAAAAAAACTGTCATCAACCTTGCAACATGTTAAACACACTTAGAAATAGCTACATTTACACCAGACGTAAACCATATTGGACGTAAATCATGGAACGTAAACAAACATTTCATGTAAAATTCTCGCGTCACTTTTCAAAAGGTCATTAGTAACAAATGTAAACAAATCGAGTTAAGCGATACAAACTATTGCTCTTCTAAAATTGTATGTGATGCAAAAACACCCATCCAAATTTACTTTAATTTTTTTAAGATAATCAAAGGTCGAAAATTGTCCAATGTACAGTTTTAAATGATGGGTACATGAGTGTTACTTCGGTCATTCGGACTGCCTAACATGATTGGTGCTCATTTTCTAAAGGCGGGGCTAATCTAAAGTTAAGTACTCTTCTCTGAAATCTGTGAAAGGGAATCTATTATCATGTAGAACAAAACGTCCAATGTAACACTCATTGATTATGTCATTGAGAAAAATCGTCCCATGTAACATGTCCGATGTACAACTTGAATAGTCAAAACGTCCTATGTGGTTTTTTCTATATTGTAGCATGAAATCCAAAGCAAAAAAAAATGTGATTTTACCGTTTCTACTGAATTTTCCACGTTATTATTCACTGACTACATTAAAAATAGTATTGCAAAATGTATTGTTTTTAAACAGTTAAAATAATAATCTGTCGAACTTCAACTCCGATTTTCTCAAAATGGTGGATATGTTGCATAGGTCTATTTTAAAAGTGACGCGAGAATTAAGTGTTCTCAAACCAAAACATTAGCAGCTCGACGAAATGACCGTTTGATTGAATTGATTTTCTCGTTTCTTTCAACTGATTCTAATGTCAAAAGGGCCGCTTACATGTGTTGGTCTCAGGGAACCGAAATTTACATTACTTTTTCGTATTGTATGGTTTTCTGTTCTGAACTTAGCTTAAGGCAGGTTTGTGATGTGAGACTAGATGGGAATTCATACACAGATAGAAATATTTTGTAATTTTCAACTAGCAACTGGCGAAGGTTTTTAAATACAAAATTACACGTTTAATGATTTGAAGTTCAACGGATTAAAGCAGTTCATGTAAATTTATATCATTGTTCATTGAAAGTTAAATCAGTTTCAGCTTTTGAATTTTATGTAAAATCACACATGCATGTAAAATTCAATGCAAATGAATGTATTATTAAATACTTTCATGTAAAATTAATGTTTTATTTCTGTATGTCAGAAAATACATTAATGTGCCATTTGTAAAGTTCCCACAAATAATTTTAGCTGGCACTAGCGTATACAGGAAAAAAAATAGCTACGTAAGCCATTTGTTGCCTGTATAAGCTTATCTGCTGCTAAAACTGTTAGTTGGGCAGGGCTTACATAATTTCGGGACCAACGAGAGTTCCTGTTTAAAATCAACCTTGTCAGTGCGGACACTCATTCTCAAAATATTCTGTCAACAGTGCTTCCAATAGCTCGAGTCAGCTAAGCGCGAACTGCTGCTTGCTAGAGTGGGAACGTGAGCATTAGTTCAAAATTCCATTCTGTTCCGTTCACCTGGCGTTCAATTACCATAATTTAACGTCAAAATATCACTGATTTTATGACACTCCGTTCGTTTCGAAACAGCAAAAAGCCCTGATATGCATATGTGTACATACACACACACACACATTATGCAATTTGGCAGTGCAATTTTTCGCCTCCAGAAAGTACCAATGCTGTGTTGAGCACGCTTGGCGGCTTAAGACAAAAGAAGCGAGTGTACAAATTGTTGCAACTTTCGGTCTTAGTTTGCGACCGCGGTCGTTCCGCCCAATAATGGTGACAGACGCGGAACTTTGGCATGTCGCGAGTGCAATAAAATTATAATAAAATTGTAAAAATATGAACAACGGGGTAGTTCACACCTACCGGGGTAGGATAAATAAAGATTTGAATTTTATACCTGTTTGTTCTTTGCTCACGAAGCGTTGCTGTGGTTGGGATTGTTGCTGTTGTTGATCTGGTGACTTGTAGGGACAGGAAGTGTCTTGAAAACGAGAAAAACGAAAAAGAGTCATTGTTTAACGGTTGAACAGAGGATGATTGTGATGGCGAATGCTTGGTCAAATGTTTGACCAGCGAGCCATGCGTGGATTGGACCTCGTGTCAAGACGACGGCGGCGACGACGACGACACGGAGTAGACTAGATTCGTGTCGCAAAGAATTGCGAAGCTCAATGTTTACACTTTCAGTTAGCATTAGTTAACGGGGCCTGGTAAACATTTAGCACCCCATTGGTTATATTGAATCGTGTGTGAAGGTTATTTCTGAATGAAAAGCGTGCATTTATGTCTATTAATATCAACCGTATTTTCGTCAAGTTGGATAATTTTCGTTTTAAATGGTTTTTTGATTGTTTTTTGTTCCCGCTGATCCCAGTATTTAGATCTGGGCATATTACCCAGGTTGACAAACTTTTTAACATGTAATTTCAGTAATTCAGAATTCGACCCAGCATTGTCCGTAAATCTCTAGCTATACGTATCACATTGTCAGTTGACAAATTGTACCATTCTGTCCGTTTTATGACCATCCTACATAAATCAAGGGATTAACCGTCACTAATGTCAACCGCAAGAACAATCCCAATCTGTGAAAGGCGTATAACAACAAAGGATTAACTCGCAAAGTTTTTAGACCATATCGCAAAAACAAATGGCACCAGCCTTAAAAATACACCTCTTCTCATCCCAAAACGCTCTCAACCGTGATTTGATTCAAATTCCTTGACCACACCGGACCGGATTATCACACAGTTCCGGACCATTTCGGTTTCTTCCTTTTCTTAAGCCCCCGGTATCCATCCTGAATGTTCGTGCTCGCCGGCTTAGCCATCAATCCTCCGGGAAAGATTTGTTTTTAATTTTGTCCCCTTCGTCTACCCCGAACCCGTCCATGCTCCGTCGAACAGAGAGAGAGAGAGAAAAAAAAAGGAAGACAAGTAAGTTTATGTGCCTGAAAATTGTCGCGTCAAGATAAGTCATTATTCCTCGGAGGCGCCATCACCAATCTGCGGTAAAATAACAACTCGTCGAAGTCTCCTTTCCCCGTGTCTACACTCTCTAGTCTCAGGGTTCAATAATGTTGACTTTATCGCACTCCTTCGACTGACACTCTTTGCTTGCTTTCTCTCTCTCTATCTTTCTTTGCGCTCTATACGGTTCAAATCAACTGAAATTGAAATCTTTTCACTGAGTTTGTTTTTCCTTTCTTCAGTGAATTCCTTCCTCCTAAATGGAATGGACACAGCAAAAGCTGGTCACCGAGATGCTATGTATTTGTTTGTGGACATACTGTAACCAACAATCAATACGAAACTAACGATTTTAAATTGGCTCACTACTTGACTAGCCTATTGGTTATTGGGTTATTGGTTTTTTCTATGTTTCGAGAGGTGAATCGATTAGCTTAGGACCGAAGAGAGTACCAGAGCTGAGCCAAAAAGTTGAGCACGTTATTTCGGGACCTTCTTGTCTTAGAGTTACCTCTATGCTGTAACTATCTTGACTGTGGGAAAAATCAACTAGCTTTAGGCCTAATTTACCATTCGGCCTTATACCCATTTAGGTCTAATGACATTCGTTTTAATGAATATAGTGGCCTTCGACCTAATGGCTCTACATCGAAATAAGGGATACATCCAATTAATCGATTAATTTTAATTGATTGTACACCATAAAATGATCTACATAAATTGTTCACACCACTGGGCTTCAACTGTACTTCCGACCGGCTTGTCGTGAAGTGAGAACAGTGATAAACGAGAAGTATGCGAAGCCAACTGGTAATGGGCTGTTTACACTTATCTGGAGCTATTTCGCTAGCTCCACCAGCTCAAACAACTAGCCCGACTTTTAGTTTTTTACTGAAATCTCATGCATGTAGATGCTGACGCACTGTTTACATTATGTTGGTCACATTTAGTACAGTTCTAGTACACTAGTGCTAGTGAACCAGCGTATATTTAAACACCACATGATTTTGGTTTTACCTCTCATGTTTGAACAAAAAATGGAATATTTCTATTAAAGATGGCTTCTAAATTTATTCACCTTTCCATACGTACGGTTGGATTTAATACAGAGTCACAAATCGTTGAGATATTGTTTGAAATCTAAAACTGCTTCTTGATTCTAAATTCGTCCTACGAGTTTCAATTCCGTTCTAACACATTGAAACCCCATTAGATTTTCTTCGTCCTACGGATAAACGTAGAAAAAGGGGATTCACTAGGAGCGCTCCTTTTTTTGAGAACAATTAGCGTAAATATTCATACAATACGCTCTAATAGGATTTATGTTGTAGCTAATGAACTAATGCAACCTATTATTGATTTATAAACGGGGAAATCATTGATATTATTGATCTTTCTGATCGGTAGAACGGAAATGGGGGATTACGACGAAGTAGCGCTCTCCCTACCTGTAGTAACTAGGATGGTTGTATATGGCAAGTTGTGCTATAATCAATCCTCCTCGTGTTTATTCGTGAAATTCACATCAAATATTGATCACTTGGGTAGGAAATCAATTTGGTAAGGCATTTGTGACCAGCATACACCTTCCGGTCGTATGAAACAGGTCAAAATCTGTCCAAATCTGCCCGTATTTTGTTTTTGTTTTGGCACCGTTTATGGCAAAATAGTGAACTTTGCATGAACATTAACGGCAAATAACTCACAAACACTAGCGGACCGTGAGTACTGTACCACCTATATTAATCTATCTTGGGCCGGTCGCACTTTACTCGTAACCTTAGGAAAGACAGGGAAGGAGGAAGCGTCCATATTAGGGGCGGCTGAAAACAGCGTCTGTTAAGGGCAGCCAATCATCGTCCTTGTGCTAGCATATTTTCAACCCTTTGTTCCCAACTGTTCTTTCAATACGTATTGAGGTCCTCAACAACTGTGAAAAATTGGAGTGAATTTGGAATAATTTCAATTTGCGGAAGAATTACTTTTAAATTTTGTATGGGAAACGGAACAATCCTATTCATTTGCTTACCAAAAATCCAAATATTGCTCAAATTTCACCCAATCTCGGACTTAGATTGAGAATACTATACAAAACAACTTTATCTGAGATTTCAAATCGATTTGATCTTTGTACAAAAAGTTACTAATCTTTCACTTTAGACCAAGTGTTCCAAGCTAAGCTCATATATATGGTATGCGGGGAGAAATAGGTCTAAATTAATATAATAACATATTTTTTCTCAGAAGTATATATATATATATATATATAATCAATTTGCAATCTTCGACAAAGTTGTTCTGCAAAGTATTCCCAACATATTTCCGAGATTCGAATGAGTGAGTGAGTAAAAATTTATTCACTTTCCGGGAGAAACTATATGAATATGAGGAAAACCGACCAAAATTTTACTCAGCCGAAGAGTGTACTAATGGGGCCTCCCTTAGCTCTGTAAAGGTAAAGGCGCAGCCACAAAGCAATACCATGCTGGAGGTGGCTGGGTTCAATTAATCATTTTGTCAAGCTTCTGCATTCATGTTCCATCAGATGTCACTGCTGTTGTTTGCGGTGACATCTATCGGAAACTACACACAATCTGTTTTCCTTTAATTGTTCACAGAGGACACTGCAGTGAAAAACATGTCTGGTATCTCTATATATACATTAAGATTAATATTCGAAGTTTCTTCTTTTTTTACACATTCTGCACATAAAATAGCTCACCCCTCACAGAATTTCCCGCCGATTTTTATGTATGGGGCGGGGCATAAAGTATCTTTTGCACAGAATATGTAAAAAAGGTGGTGCTTCAAATGTTAAGGTAAATGCATATATAGAGGTACCAGGCATGTTTTGTAGTGTCAGGTACTCTATTTTGTAATCTGTGAAAGGGAAATCACAAATTGAGTGTCAACAAAATACATGGCATGTTTAGAGATTGAGGTCGTGAGAGCAAATTTTCTCTCTCAAATTTGAATTTTTGGCTCTCTGGTAACTGGTAGTAAAGCAAGTAAAACTGTATGGAGAAAAATCATTTTTATTTAATTGTAGCTTGTTCCGGGAAAAAAAAACTGAACGACAAAGTCCCTGCTTAATTTGTTTAGGTTGTCGTTCCCTTTTTTGACCTGAAAATGCACCGAAAGCGAATTATTCCTATTTCTCTCTATTTCTATATGGGGATTTTTATCACTTCCTACCAGCGGAACAGCGTCATCTCTGTGGAAAATGGTTGTACAAAATGATTAATTCCCTGTCCGGTCTAGGAATTTTTCGAGTTGGAAAATTTCTCGACTTCCCTGGGCATAGAGCATGATTGTACTTGCCACGCAATTATACTTATGCCAAAATGCTACCAGGCATCGAAAGCTCTCAATTAATATCTCTGGAAGTGCACTAAGTGCACTAAGTTGAGAGCACGCAATAAGCTAATATGCGATAAGTAATAAGTTTGAAATGCGAATAAAAAGAAGAAGAAGAAAAAGAAGGAGTAAATCTGACAGAAGACGCTCTTTTTCAAAATACAAAATGTATTCATAGATGGCATAAATGTGTTGCAGAGGAATTGAATAAATGTGATAAAACAAAAATAACGAAATTTGGCTGAAAAACTTGAAAAATATTGTGCTTGATGAAAATGTACCACTTTTAATGCAAACAAAATTTACCGAAAACCAGAAAACGTTGCGAGTGAAATTGATACATTGCTATTTTCAGTACGGGATATCTCTTGAACTTGGCCATATGGAATGTTACCGTCTGTTAGCGTCCATATGATCTTTCTACATGAGCTGCATTATCTTAACATCCTGATTGTGTAACAAGATGCTATCTTCGAGAAAGTTGTTCAGGTGATAAAGGCCCTCAGAATGATATTTTGATTAAGTTCACTATGCAGCGCTTGTGTGCATACTAATGTACAGTTATCCCTCCAAATATGCGCATAATACGGACCATATAAGGAAACCGCATATATGGAGTCCACGTAGCATATGGGATTTGACTGAATTGGTTCCA